CCAAACCCCTAAACCTCTACCCGCTTTCGTCTCCCCCCACCCTACTCCTCGTATCGACCGCCGAGGCTGTTCCTTCGCCCTCCCCCTTCGAGTAAGCCCCACGTAAAGAAGTGGACGGTGCAACGACACCCACCATCCTCTGAATAAAACAAGAAGCAAAGGAAGAAGGAGAAGGAGAAGGCCCTCAGTCTTGATCGTAGTACGGTGGAATACCTCACACGCACACATACCGTCACACCAAGCCAAAGGTGAGCCTCACCAAAGGTCCCAGCACCATTTCTCACCACTACCCTTACCCCTTCTCAAAGGAGTGAGAGCGTCTCTGATACTCCAGAACTTCGGAGTCGGCTTATACTGGTGCCAGACTAATACCACCTGTAGTCATCCTGCTATTGTTTTGGTTTGTTTTGTTTTTCGAGCTTTTCTTTCTTCCTTCCTTCCTTTCTGTCTTATTTTTTTCTTTCTTTCTTTTATAGCTTCTCTGTTGCATTGATATTCGAGACAACAATTTTATTTCTTCCAAACCAAACTCGTTCATTCATTTTTTCTTTCCTATATTTTTTGCTGAATAATTGTTCTCTTTCTCTAGTAAACCTTTGAGATTTTTTCTATTCACTTTCTTTCCTTGAAATAATTCCTTCGATCTCTCTTTTCATTTCTTTCTTTTTGTCTGTTCAACAAATGTTTTATTTCCTTTCTTTGATAAATTGTTGACTATCGTTAAAGAATAACCGTTTGAATAATCTTTATTTATTAATTTTTTTATTTTCTGTATTTTGAAAAAAATTTGCTTTTATTATTATTTTCTTAATTCTTCCTTTTCTTTACGACCCTTCAACAGGAACTTGATGCTTCTTTCCGTTTTTCTCTCTTTCTTAATCTCTTTGTGTATTATTCTTCTTGGCAGGAATGGGTTAATAACAACTTTTTTGTCATTTTGTTTCAGTCTATTCATTTCTTCATCCTTTCCATTGTTCTCTTCTTTTTACTGTCTTTCCCTGCACTCTTCGTTTTAAACGTACTTTCTAACTAATCATCATTCTTTTACTTTTACGTCTTCCTCTCGGCATTCATTCTCCTCCTTAGCAAAAACCTGAAGGCTTTTTCCTTCTTTTCTGTCTTTCCTCTCCTTCCTTCATTGCTCCCGCACCGCGTCCTCGTGTTTCTTCAACGGAACTCTGAAAAGGGTCCTGTCTTTTGGCAAGCGCTTACTAAAGCTTCTTAGTTAGAGCAGGTGCCACCAGAGGTCCTTAAGAAGCCTCGATATAAGCGATATTTCTGTGCTGAAGGTTGTTCCCGTGACTTCGGATTTCTTTTTTTCATCGGAGAGTTGATTGTTTTGCTCTGTTGTTTCATATGATAATATAATAAGTACCTTTCCCTCCGGCCTGAGGACATTAATATTATTTTGGATAAACTCGAATCATCCTTGTGCATTCGTTGTCTCCTGCCTGGTTTCTTCAGTAAGTCTCTTTGCATTGCTGTGTTTTCTGTTTGTGAGGATAAAGTTTCATGATATCTTTGGCTTCTGTAATGCGTTACGTTCACACGGTGAAGCGCAGCAGAACAATGATGTATTTTTTTGTTGGGTTTTGAGTATCGCCCTCACAGAGGGGCATGATAATGATATTGCGTGCCGTCGTCCTGCGCTCAGTGTGTATACGACCAAACAACCGGCTGTAATCATGATATTTATTTTTTTTTAATTATGGTTTTGTATGTGTGTGT